TTCCTTGGATTCTCCCTGTCCCTGGGTGTTGTTTTGCCCTGTCCCTGAGTGTTGTTTATCCCTGGATTCTCCCTGTCCCTGGGTGTTGTTTTTCCATGTCCCTGGGTGTTGTTTTCCCCATCCCTGGGTGTTGTTTTTCCCTGTCCCTGAGTGTTGTTTTTTCCCTGTCCCTGGGTGTTGTTTTGCCCTGGATTCTTCCTGTCCCTGGGCGTTATTTTTTCCTTGGATTCTCCCTGTCCCTGGGTGTTGTTTTGCCCTGTCCCTGAGTGTTGTTTATCCCTGGATTCTCCCTGTCCCTGGGTGTTGTTTTCCCTGTCCCTGAGTGTTGTTTTTCCCTGGATTTTCCCCATCCCTGGGTGTTGTTTTCCCCATCCCTGGGTGTTGTTTTTCCCCGTCCCTGGGTGTTGTTTTTCCTGTCCCTGGGTGTTGTTTATCCCTGGATTCTCCCCATCCCTGAGTGTTGTTTTTCCCTGTCCGTGGGTGTTATTTTTTCCCTGGATTCTCCCCATCCCTGGGTGTTGTTTTCCCTGTCCCTGGGTGTTGTTTTCCCTGTCCCTGAGTGTTGTTTTTCCCTGGATTCTCCCCATCCCTGGGTGTTGTTTTCCCCATCCCTGAGTGTTGTTTTCCCTGTCCCTGGGTGTTGTTTATCCCTGGATTCTCCCCATCCCTGAGTGTTGATTTTCCCCATCAGTGGGCGTTATTTTTTCCTTGGATTCTCCCCATCCCTGGGTGTTGTTTTCCCTGTCCCTGGGTGTTGTTTATCCCTGGATTCTCCCTGTCCCTGGGTGTTGTTTTTCCCCGTCCCTGGGTGTTGTTTATCCCTGGATTCTCCCCATCCCTGAGTGTTGTTTTTCCCTGCCCTGGGCGTTATTTTTTCCTTGGATTCTCCCTGTCCTGGGGTGTTGTTTTTTCCGGATTTCTCCTTATCCTGGGTTCTCCCTCTCCCGAGTGTTGTTTTTCCCGGCCCTGGGTGTTATTTTTCCCTGTCCTGGATGGTGTTTTTCCCTGGATTCTCCCTGTTTTTTTCCCTGATTTCTCCTTATCCTGGATTCCCCTCTCCTGGGTGTTATTTTTCCTTGGATTCTCTCTCTCCCGGGTGTTATTTTTCCCTGGATTCCCCCTGTTCTGGGTGTTATTTTTCCCTGGATTCCCCTCTCCCGGGTGTTATTTTTCCCTGGATTCCCCCTGTTCTGGGTGTTATTTTCCCCTGGATTCTCCCTGTTTTTCACTCGATCTCTCCTTATCCTGGATTCTCCTTATCCTGGCTTTTCCCTGGATCCCGTTTCCCCCCAGATCCCGATTTTCCCCGGATCCCGATTTTCCCCGGGGGTCAGGAATTGTCCCCAGCGAGCTCCACGTCCCCTCCCCGGGGAAACCCTCGGGATGCTCCCGGGATCCAGTGGCCGGGATCCGGGATCCGGGATCCAGTGGGAATGAGGGATCCAGTGGGAATGAGGGAATGCGGGATCCTGTGGGAATGAGGGAATGCGGGATCCTGTGGGAATGCTGGGATCCGGGATCCAGTGGGAATGTCGGGATCCCGTGGGAATGAGGGATCCAGTGGGAATGAGGGAATGCCGGGATCCAGGATCCAGTGGGAATGAGGGAATGGCAGGATCTGGGATCTAGTGGGAATGAGGGATCCTGTGGGAATGCTGGGATCCCGTGGGAATGAGGGATCCTGTGGGAATGTGGGAATGCTGAGATCCTGTGGGAATGCTGAGATCCGGGATCCTGTGGGAATGAGGGATCCAGTGGGAATGAGGGAATGGCGGGATCCGGGAATGCAGGAATTCCATGCGGGAATGTGGGAATTCCATGCGGGAATGCGGGAATTCCATGTGGGAATGTGGGAATTCCATGCGGGAATGCGGGAATTCCATGTGGGAATTCCGGCGGGCGCTCGGTTCGGGGCAGGAGGAAGCGGCTCCGACCGGGATTCCTGGAGCTGGGAAGGAAAATGGGGGGAAAAGGCAAAAAAATTGGGAAAAATGGGAGGAAAAATGGGAAAAATGGGAGAAAAAAGGGGGAAATGGGAGAAAAAAGGGGAAAAATGGGAGAAAAAATGGGAAAAATGGGAGAAAAAGGGGGAAAATGGGAGAAAAAAGGGGAAAAATGGGAGAAAAAATGGGAAAATGGGAGAAAAAATGGGAAAAATGGGAGAAAAAAGGAAAAATGGGAGAAAAAAGGGGGAAAATGGGAGAAAAAAGTGGAAAAATGGGAGAAAAAAGAGGGAAAAATGGGAAAAAGTGGGAAAATGGGGAAAAAAAATAAAAGAGGGTCAGGAAGAGGTGACTCCCAATCCCAGGGATCTCCGATCTGTGGGATGGGGGATCCAGAGGGGATTTTTGAGGGTTTGGGGTCCAAAATCCTCAATTTCCCCCTCATTTTTAGCCCCGGGAATGCTAAAAAAAATGGGAATTTGGGATGGGGACGGAGCGAGGATCCCCTAAAACCTCCCGGCCGTGGATTTTTGGGATGAATTCCAAGCCTGGAGGGTCCGGGAGGGAGAAGCAGGGTTGGGAATATCCTGGGAGAAAAAAAAAAAAAGAATGAGAGAGGAAAAAACGGGATGAGAAAAACTCAGCTGCTTCTTTTTCCCCCCTCATTCCAGGCCCCATTCCAAGCGGGAATAGCAGAGCAGGGAAGGGAACGGGAGCCCGGTAATTTGGGATGGCCGGATCCCAAAAATAAAATAAACCACAAAAAAAAGA